TATAAATATTTAAATATATTTTTTTTTTAATATTTATAAAATGTATCACAAATTTATAGCGTTTATTAGATTTTATGTATTTAAATATATGTTCACGAATAGTAATCATATATCGACACAGTAGAAAGACGTAAAAAAAGAAATAAAGTAAGTACAAGAAACTTAATAGGCAGGTTCTTTGATGTGAGGTTAACGGATCAAGGTAGTTCGGTAACGAGTAAGCCATCGTCTTGGACTATCTTCGTCGATAAAACCTCGTATACGACGTAGATGAACTAATATTCTATTACGTAAATGCTAATTATATTAATTACTAATTATTCAGCTTGTAAATCACCATTTTGAATAAATATTAAAAATATCATAATGCAATGAAATATCGTGATGAATAGAAGTATTTCCTATTTAAACTTAAAATTTTTCTATGATTAATAATTAATAAAAATAATTAATTAATTTTTATTAAAAAATATAAAGCGGTTGTGTCTTTCAAAAATCATAATAGAGATTGTAATAAAATTTTATTTAATAATTTAAAACAAAAAATATGGAAAATCACAAATTTTTACTAAGTTGTAATTCTACTTTATTAAAAATTATATTTTTAATATCGTATTCTTTTAAAAAAATTTAATAATATCATATTTTATAAATCTACACCATATATACAATTATATTTTACTTGCAAAAATTTATAATCTTCACAATTTAATTTCACAATAATACTGTTATATATATATAACATTTAAAATTATATATATATAAAATTTTTGACATTTACATATTTATAATTCATAAGAATATTCATATTGCATAATTACTGAATATAAATATACAAATATTTTTTTACTTATTTATATAATAGATATTTTTCCAGTAATTTATATAGTAGAATGTACAAATGCATATGGAGCTTTGATAACAAAATTCTACACCTGCAAATCGAGATTAAAGAAATAATGATAACGTTCTATGATTAGAATTTGTTCTCAAAGAAGACTTACAATTATTCGAATCTTTCAAGACAAGTTGTCACTTATATCATATATACGAAATAGATTGAGAAGGTTGAGAATAATTTTTTAAAGATTTTTTTCATCAAAAATTTTTGATATAATCTTTGATAAAGTGTTTTTAATTTCAGATTTGTTTAATCCTTCGAATCCGTACAAAAATTGATATTGGATATAAAATGATATGCAACGAAGTTTGAAATATAATTATTATTAAGTTAGAAATTTTCATTAATTAATCGATTTTTTTATTAGATATTATTATAAAATAACAATTAGGTAACAATCATGCTTGGTTGAATAATCTTATGATAAAAAAAATTAAAATATGATGAAAATAGGCAATCGCATATTAAAGCGTCATAACCCTGAATATCTGTCGTGGCAACAAAGTAAAGCGTGAAGCATGATTCGAAGCAAACTCATAAATTGCAAATCTAACAAGTCAGAGCGCAAATGCGAGACGGTCAACGAGCAAAAGAACGATATTTGCTTGGAAGGGAAAGGAGCGGGGGGTCAAAAGTCGCGAGTTGCGTTGTTCACAGAAACTATCTTGTCCTCGTTGAGGATAACAATGAAGCAAAGGAAACACCAAATTCCTTCATTGAAGGTCTTCAATTTTCTGTATATGTACAGCAGAAGAAATATATCCTGTAAACAATATTAATGACTATTTTATAAACTATTATTTATAGTTTAAAATAATCAAAAAAATTCCAATTTCCAAAAAGTATCTAAATCTTTTGATCCGATCAAAATAATGGAGAAAAAAATCTTTTTAGCACCATTCTCGAATTCTCTCTCGAACTAGAAAGAATTTCTATCGAGTAAATAATCTAAAGAGTAAATAATAGTAACCTATTAAGATATAAATTTTTTACAAAAAGAAATTGTCACTATCTACAAAACGGTTATCTTCCATATTTATATTTAGATATTGTAAGTAACATACTTTTGTGCCTCAAAATCTCAATCATATAGAATAATCGGGATAATTATTTCTATCGTCGAGTGACGGACAATAGAGGAAAGGATTTCAACGTCCTTCGAGCTCTTCTCGAATCTTTTTCCCACAGAATACATTATATCTTAGCGGTATTTACAAGACTAGAATTCGACGACATCAACACAAAGAAAGAGAGAAACTATGGAGGGAAGAGAAAAAGCTTTCAAAATGGTGAACCGGAATGGGACGGACGCAAATAATAGACTATACGTGTAATATCTAAAGTCCAGAAAATCAAAGAAAATAAAAAAAGAAGCGATTCTTGGTGTATGCAGAATCGAATAAATATTAAAAATGAGTTAACGCAATCAAAATCATAATATGATTTTACATGACGTAGAAAGAAATGACATGTAAAATTAATAATAGTGAAATAAAGATACATGTTTTATTTAAAAGAAACCATTTGAAACGTTGAATAAGGAAATACACAGCAAAGGTTAAGCCTATAAATCAACGTCGCTCATTATAGTTCGACTTGACGATCGACTTTAAACGCCGGAAACGAATTACAATAGGTGAGTTGTGCAAGCATTCTTTAAACGAATTACGATTGCGATCAAATTAGAATTAGACAATACTTAAAACGAAAGTTAGGAATCTTTTC